TCGTCGAATGGTGAAAAGGTGAGGAGTGTAGAGGGGTGTACAGTAGAGAGTGTGAGGACCTGTCGGAAGTCTTAGGGGAGGACGCGTGATCATAGTTCATGTGGGTTTCTCAGACCGAAGAAGAACAGACAAATACTACTAAAGAGAATGCCCGTTTCACATAATAATGATTATAGTTAAAATCACAATTCTATTTTGCTTTGAAAAAATTTGAGAAAAGAGCTGCATTTGTCGACTGTTACTGACTGAGAGGTGGTGTCCAGGGGGCTGAGGAGTTTTTTTATTGTGGAGAAGAGTGTTTTGGGGTTTCTGGAGCCTGAGTGGATTAACTGAGAGTAGTAGGTGGTGCGGGCATGGGAGAGGGCATCTTTGTATTGCTGTAGGTGGTCCTTGTATGTTTGAGAATGAATCGTGAGACCTGTTTTATTGCGGAGTCTTTCAAGTTGACGGGCACGGGTTTTCATCAGACGGAGTTCAGGGGTGAACCAGGGAGCAGAGTGGGTGAAGGAAACGGTTTTGGTTTTTATGGGTGCAATGCAACAGTAGGTTGCATTGTGGGTAATGTAGACTCCAGGGCCCTTTCTCATTTCATCAAATCCCCCTCCTCGACTCCTCGACTCCTCGGTCCTCCGGTAGTGACCCGGAAATGAATTTCAGCGCGCCATGTTGAAGGACATCTCATTTCTCTAAATGCACTTCGAGGATCGAGCGTCGAGGAGGCTCTCTGGAGGAGCTATAACCGAGGATACACTGATGGGTCCTCCACGGTCCTCCACAGCTCCTTCGTGGATGCATTTCTGGGAACAGAGATGTTTCAAAGCGTCGTGACCATGGTCGTGACGCACGGCCGGACTTATCTCAGCCAATGACAGCTCTGCATGCATGCCCTGGATATTATTTTATTAACTGCTCTCATCGCAACGCGAGGTTTACAGAGAGAACAGCTGTGAGGTTCGTTCAGAAAGCAGAGCAGTGTGTAAAATATATATCACTCAGTATAACAGGCCTACATTACTCTCCGTATTTGCTTTAGTTTAGTAGATATCTAAAACAAAGAGTGGATATTTTCTAAGAGACCATTTAGTGCTTCACATAATAAAATACACAAAGGCTGTAGCCTGATTATGTGCTTTAGGAGCTGTAGGTGCGTGTGGTACAGTGTGTAGGTGTGTGTTAATGGACGTCTCTTTAAGATGACCGCTCAGAGGAGAGGAGTTCTCATTCCTCTAACCGCCTGCTGCTTCTCCTCGGCTCCCCTCCTCGACTCCTCCGTTCGCATCTCCTGTGGGCGAGACTAAGTCTCGAGGATAGGAGTCGAGGAGGGGAGTCGAGGAGGGGAGTTAGAGAAATGAGAAAGGGCCCAGGTTTTGACAAGAAAGAATGCGTGGATGTAAAAGAGGCTCTGTTGGAACTGGCTTACTAAGATACTTAAACTAAGTATGTGGTAAATTGAGTATGTATTATTAACACATATGTGGATGACGTGTCAGTGAGAAATGTCCGGGTGTTTACTAGTCAACATTTGAGCTGTGAGCTTACAAAATAAACTGCCTGGAATCCATTGCAGCCCACCAGACTGTCCGATGCACTGAAAGGCAGACTGTTTTTTTTTTACAAATTATGGTGCAAAACGATTAGGAGGAGCTCACATTTTATAATGAACAGTAGCATATATATTGACTTAACACAAATAGTTCTGTTTTTTCAAATTCATTAAAATAGTAGGAGAAAATATGAAATTGAATGTGAAATGTTGATGGGGCTTCTGTGAAAAACTTTGAAATGAACTGTAGCTCGGACCGGTAATGTCATGACAATGCAGTCACATGATCGATTCAGGCGTGTTGTTACTGAGTGAACTTCAGTGTGAGAAGTGTGATGGTAACGGCAACAATTGAATGTGTAGTATGAAGGGCATACATATTGAGTATGCAGTATGTACATATACACTGCCCCTTTCTCTGGTTCAGCTGCATGGATTGAAATGGTTTAGCTGTCCCATATAACTGCATTAAAAGAAAAGGTGAATCAGTAGAACACTGGCAGGACCAACAGCTTCACCAAAGTTCTCTAACAACAGCTCTAAAGTTTCTCAAAGTGTTTTGTCACTGTGACCAATGATTGAACCTGGACTTTAAACCCTCTGTCCTCTGACTTTTGTCCCAGTTCAAAGGAAACACAAACAATCACACACAGATGTTGACTTCAATGCTGTAGATTAGGGTAAGATAACTGATGTGTACTTAGCGGTGTACCCAAATGACATTATTAGTTTAAACTGAATAGGCATGACAACGTCCAGCCTACTCATAGCAGGACACATCTTACCACTTTTCTATCTTGGATCATGATTAAAATGCTCATTGGAAGATTGCATTATTAAAAATAAACTCAGGTATTTAAAACATTGTTCCTCCTTAAATATCTGCCACATGAAAAACATTTTAGCGTTTATATAAATGAAATGATTAACTTGTCTAGTTCGTAGAATGAATGGATATGACTGTACCTAACTGAAAACATGTCTCCTGTGTGTCTGGCTCATGTTGTTCCAGTGCGACCCACCATGTCAGAGACCACCGCTCTGGGGGCAGCCATGGCAGCTGGGGCAGCAGAGGGGGTGAGGGTGTGGAGCCTGAGCCCGAGTCATCTGCCACACGCCACATCTGAGAAATATGAACCTCAGATCAACCCTGATGGTAAGGAGGAAAAACTGGAGGAAATGTGTTAGGCACTCGATACACAGCATGTGACTCTCATAGGGGTTCACATCACTGCTGCCATCTAGTGGATGTTACCATCATGACGGTGTGTCTTTTACAAATCTGCATCTAATCCAGTGGTTCTCAAACTTTTTCTGTCATTCCCCACTTTGAACAGGTGGGCCTTTTCAAGCCCCACCTGTTCCTCATCGCTCCAATAAAATGGTAGGCCAAGCTTAAAATTGTCAAATGTATCGTTCTATAACAGGGGTCTCCAACCTTTTTTAGGATGAGAGCTACTTTCAAAAAATAAAACAAGTCGTGAGCTACTTTTACTCCTCTTTTTTTTTTTTTTTGCTGTGTATATATTTAGCACATTTTAACATTATTATATGCTACCTTTAACCTTTGTTTGCTGTTTGGGTCTGTGGGACCCGTTTTCAGTGTTTACTAAAATAAAATGTATTCAATTTAATTATTTTAACCTGCTTTATTTGGTGGTGGACGTCACATCCTCTAGTCTAGGGTCCGGGGGCATGCACCCCCAGGAAGATGTTTTTTAAATGTTGAAGTTAAATGCATCAATCTGGTGCACTTTGAGCTAGGGCTGCTCAATTAATCATATTTGAATCGCAAATTACGATTTTGGCTTGCAACGATTATGAAAACAACATAATCGAAATAAAACAATTATATTTTTTTCAGTTTAATTATATTTAAAGTTCAGGGTAATCAACTGTTAAAAACATACTTTTCAAATTATTTTCTTCAATAAATTGATGTTTTCAAAGTAAATGGTTAACCGTTTTATATAATCGTGGATACATTTATTGACCCAAATAATCGAGATTAATGATTTTTGCCATAATCGAGCAGCCCTACTTTGAGCACAACATGGAATTTTGGATACAGCTCTCAACACCAAGATGAAAGAGGGGAGCTGTATACTTTCAATTTAAATCCAAACCATCTTTAGATATGAATCTACAACAAATAATTTTAAACTTGTGTTTATTCTTATCTTATGTTACCTAGTTTAGCATTCTTTCTTTTTATTTATGTGCATAATTGACTAATCCCTCCATTTTTAACCTTTTTACTGTCCTATAGAACCAACCATGGGAATGTATTTCTTTAACTTTATTTTCTTATAACTTTATTAAATAGATAAAGTGTGCTCTCCTTTCTTTGCTCCTCTCTCTCCGCTCTCTCTTCCGCTCCAACAATTGCTTTTCTTCCCGACTCCAACGCTGTTTGTGTGTGTTCTGTGAGAGCGTTTTCACATGTGGTGTATGGAGAGATTTTTTTACCAGTGGCGAGCCTGTCTCTGAGGGCCTAAGATATTCTACAAAAATAATATTTAAAACCATTAAGAACATCCTTATATTGGCTTATATATCTTCCTGATTTTAAATACTGTTTTTTTTGTTAGTAAGTATTTGCACCTTAGTTTTACCAAAAGTACTTGCCATGGAATTGTAGTCTCAGCAATAACATTTCAAAGAAATAAATCCTTTGCAATCTGGCCTATTCAGTTTATGTTTGAATGTGAAGTGTTAAATGAAGAAGCTGTCTCTGCGAGGTGATGACAGGAGCTGATTGTGACGTCCAGCTATGAATTCACAGAGGGCCCGCTATAGTAACTGAACGAGAGAGTAATGGTCTTGTTTCCATTAGCAACAACAACTGTCAACAGCGTAAACTCGCCTTCAAAATAAAGCATGCCAAATTACACTTAAGACATTACAATGCAGTGTCCTTTTCAATTTCAAAGAACACAAATTGGGTTATTTACAGGTGTTGTTTTGTGTGGTAGAGGGTCGCTTTCATTGATGCTTTTTGCACTCCGGGCGGGCCATTGTTTTGATATTCCACCAGTGTGAAAAAAAAAAAAATATATATATATTTTTTTTAAATTTTATTTCGTGACCCACCTATCACATCTCTGCGCCCCACCAGTGGGGCGCGCCCCACACTTTGAGAAACGCTGATCTAATCTGACCCTGGTGTATGTGTCGTCTTCACAAACAGAGAGCGAGTTCCGCTACGCTCGCTGGAAGAAAGCCGTCCAGAGGTCCATGAACTGGGAGACCAACGAGCCCTGCTGCAATACCAACGGTACACATCTGAAATATTTGTCCTATAACAAAACGGATTGAGTTATTACAACGTCAGTGACGTATAGTTCTTTGTAGAATTTTCCCCTGAATCTCAAACAGTGAACAAGTGCAATAGTCTGGTTTGATCCCTCTGGATGCTCTCTTTCTTCTTCAGTGACAACAGGTGTAGGGAAGAAGATGAACGGCACACCCTGGGGGGTGCCTCCCCCCCCTCCCCACATCAGAGCGGACCCCTAAGGTCCGACATTGCTGCATGCTGTGTGTGTGTGGCTGCTTTTTTATGTTGTGAAGGGTTAACTGTGGCATGGTCCCATTACCAGGCTGTACTAACACTGTTCTGAAGGGTTTGACCGACCAGTTTTTCAATACACATTTTTTACACCGAAGAATTCTCTGAAACAAAACCTGGCCTTCATTGAACAAATGATTTCAATCAATGAATGACAGGTTTATCCCCCAGCTTTTTAAGGAGTGCTGAATGGTAAATACAGTTGTTCTTAAAGAACTAATTTAAATACTACAGTTATTAGACAACAGAGTATTATTGTCAAATGAATCAACTGCGTCGCTCTAGCCCTACTATGTTGTTTAAGTTGTTTGGGTGTGCATGTTACTGTGTGTATTACTCTTCCAGACGTTGTTATGTCATTAGTTAAGCAGCAGTTTAAATTTAAAGACAGGCAGTCAGGGCTCAGTCTGGCTCATCCCAAAATCAAACGCCTGTAGGGCCATTTATCAATCTAGATAGTTTTTGTGTTGGATGCAGAGTATTGGAGATGTCTACCCCAACTCTACAATATAATGTAATTAAACATTGTTGTGAGCAGTTTGATGTATGAACTATTTTCCTTCTTCCAAACTACTCCTACCAATGACTGAGCTGAAGCCTCTTCTGTGTTGCGCTAAGGAAAACATGGTGTAGTTTGGTATAAATAAAGTAGTCCCTACATTAAACTGCTATCAACAAGGTCTTTGGAATAACCAGGTCATGATTTCTGGAAGGAGACATTGCTGTTGCCTTTGTTTTTGTTGTTGTGGCAGATTTATTTTCTTTTTTAACACATAGAGAAACCACATGCTGAGTGCCATCTAATATTTTGAATAAAAGGTGGATATCTCCCACACTCTGCCACTTGCACTAAGACAGATTGATTAGAGATAAAAGGAAAAATATGTAATATATATTTTTGGGGTGAACCTCTGAATTCAGACTGAGCCGGACCTGTTCCACACCGTAGATGCTAACTGACAGAGCAAACACACACAGGTTTCATGTTTTGGTTCAAACATTTTTACCTGCCACCGTATGTCCAACCAAAAGAACTTTGTCGATCTGTGTGGCAGTCTCTCTGATAATACTGTCCTTCCCCTGACAGATCCCCAGCTGTAACTGTGGATCATGGAGCAGTACAATGGCAGCACCTCTGGAAGAGTGATGTGCTCCCAGTGGATAAAAGACTTGAAGGCTGCATGATGTAGCTAGCAGTAGGACCCCACATCTGACTGAAGGATGAAGAGCCAGCCGCATTAAAGACTGACACAACCTGGGGAGCACTATGGAACCGTTTTTGGATTTATGGAATTTCTTTTGTCTTTCTTTTCTGAAAAGAAAGTGTTCTTAAAGCATCCTTTTTTTAATCTATGAATTTGCCTTCAACTTGTTGAGCATAGCAAACTCAGGTGTTGGTAGCAAACAAGCACACTAGTGTACCTCATCACTGTGACACTGTTGTTAATTGTTGTGTACACTGTTTTAATGTCTTTGTGCCTCTTTCTTAACTTTGGGATGCACAAGATTAGTGGGACTAATGCTTGAAAAAGGTTACTGCTCAGCATCTCTACTGTTAGTGGGGTTTATTTTTTTGAAGAACTTAAAATTTGTGAGATATCTTCTGAGTTAAGGATATCAGGCATAATTAGTTTCCTGGATTTTTACCATGATTTTCTTTCTAGATTGAGGGGAAACATGCTACATGTTAGCACACACTATGCATTAACTGACATCTAGCTGCAGGCAATCTCACAACAGCACTTTATAATTTATCCTGTGTATAATGAGGATTGTGAGCCATGCAGGATTTAAACAGGTTTATTAACCTGATTGTTTTAAGATGGATTAATGTTTTTAAGAATTCTTTCTTTGAGAGTTGATCATTACTCAAATCTAAGACTAAAGGAAGCCCCTATACAATCTATTAAAAAATCATGGTACTACGATTGTTTCCATGAGTTTTTGTATTTAGTCAGTTATATATAAACAATCATACACATCCTGATGATGAAGACATCAAGATTTAGTCTTCTGAAAGTTGAACCTTTTTATATATATATAGCATTTGGGTACTGTATTATCTGACATATTTCAAAGACACAATGTGTGAAATATTAACAGAAATGTAATTTACCACATTCAAAAAGGGAACCAACAGAATGTGAAGCTATTACAGTGTCAAGACGTCCATGTACTGTGTTGCAGATATTTGCTGAAGCTAACGGACTAGCTTTGCCTGGCTCCTCGAGGTGATAATGACTCAGTTTCCATTCTGGTCTTAAATCATGAGGACGAGAAAGTACAGCTGCTCCGCGCTTGACGTTAGAGTCTGTATGTTTTTAAAGTGTGTTCATTGGACTTCAGTGGTAGAAAATAGTTTCTATTTTTTAATCTACTCAAAATAGTGTGCTGGTGATTCGACCGTTTCTGCTACTTTGGATCTAATACATTAAAGAGACTGTCAAAGCAACAGACCAGTTAGCTAGTCCAGCGCTAACAATAAACTGACACCACACGTGAAGATTATGAGTTGTATACATTTAGATTGTATAGATCCGGTACTGGAGTTCAAATGCTGCCCACCCCCTTATCTCTTTAGAGCAAGTGGCCTGGTAATACATATTGCTCTTTTAAAAAAGGTGTATAAAACGTTCCATGTAATATGTTCCTAATGATCAGACCCTGTTTAAGAAGAGCCCTCAGCTCTGCAGGAATGGATCGATAAAAATGTGATGTTGAAAAATAAAGACACGTACATCAGCACCTCATGGTTTATTTCAGGTTAGTTCATTGTAATGAGCAAAGTCTACATGATACGAGTCAAACTTAACATATTTAAAGTCAACAGATTTAATATTCCGGAACAGGAAGTTCACATTGGAATGCAGCTTTAACACACCACACCCCGATGATGTTTGTTCACAGTTACACAATACATTTACACATATAGGAAAGCCGGAGCCTTCCCTAACAAAGCAGGAAGTTCATGTACTAAAAAAGGCGGTTCTTTAAATACACAGAGGAGGAATCAGTCCAGGAGTTCACTGTTCGGTCTTCAGCGGGAGAACTGCCTCTTGTCACCCCCCTTTCCTTTGCTCACATGCTTAAAGACTTTTGACTTTTGCCCAAATTTGGACTTCTGGTATCCAAAGCCACCTCCACCGCCTCTCTTCTGCAGCTTTCCTCCTTTACCACCGTGCACGTCTGGAGAGGAGCCGGATTAAGGGAAACTTCAGCAGTTTATTATACATTTCTATATCATTGCACATGAAATGAGGGATACAGGCCATGACAGACTTAACACATTAAACAAACCACAGGAAAGGATACTCAGATCGACGTATGGAGGTACTTTGAAGCCGAAGGACAGCGCCACCATGGGGAGGTTCAGGGTGTTCACGCTGTAGATCTGTTTGAGCGAGTGGGAGTCGTAAGCTCTCACGTACGACTTGTAGGCCTCCTGCGCTGACTTGTGAAGGTAGTAGTTCTTCTCTATCAGCTTCTCCAGCTGAAGAACATCAGACAGTGTGTGTGATTAAACTGGCACAAAACCCATATATACATGTATTTAAATTTTCTAAGAGAGATAAGTTCTCACCTGGGACTGGATGTCAGAGATTTTAGCCCAAGAAAAGTCAAACTCACTCAATGGGACCTGGACAGAAAACGGTGTTCATACTGACATTATTCACCTGACCTCAATATTTTATACTTAACACGTGATACATATCATTGATATCATGATCAAAGATTTAAGCCCTATATTCCTAGCCAGCCCTAGTTAGGACAACAAATATCCAAGAGTTAATGTTTGTAAAATGCAATGAACTAAATAGCATGTCAGAAATGAATCAAAAACGATTTAGGATTCTCTGATCTTTTTATAGTGACTTGATGAACAAAGATTTAGTCAAAATGCAACACAGCATTATGTGAACCCTTATCAGTGTTATATTTTCTCACTTTAAGCACTTTTTGCAAAGTCTAATAAATAGCCATGTAAATAAAGACAAGTCCTACATGTCCAGCAGGAAAGGCATAACAATTGACAGAAAATGTAAATTGTGGATTTACGTGAGCCTTCAGGTGAATGTTAATGGGGCAGAGAGATGTTACCTTGGCCTGCTTCAGGAAGCGCAGGAAGCCAAGCTCCTCGGGGCGGAGGATCAGCAGCGCGTGGCCCTTGCCGTTGATGCCTCTGGCTGTCCGGCCCACCCTATGGATGTACTCCTGTGAGGGGGGGAGAGGGGGTTGGTAGGCTTAATAGGATTCCTAACATTTCTTCTTAATTCAAAAGTAAACAAGTGTTGAACAATTATCATCATGTGATATAACAAGAGCCGTTTTGATACCTTGGGGTCATCTGGGGGGTCGTACTGGACGATCCAGTCCACCTCGGGGATGTCCAGTCCTCTGGCAGCTACGTCAGTACACAGCAGGATGCCTGAGTCAGCGTTGCAGAACTGGAAGAAGGTGGTGGTACGTTTGGTCTGCTTCTGCTTGCCCTGGAAATGAGAAGAAGAACCGTTGTTACTACCACTGGCTTTGTAGACGAGACAAACTCAACTTAATGTGAAGCTACGTGGCGCTTCTTACATGGATGGCCATGACAGGTAGGTCGATGTAGTTGAGAAGTTCGTAGTGGAACTTCACAGACATGCAGGAGGAGAAGAAGACCATGAGCTTCTTCTTGCGGTTCTTCTTCAGGAAGGTGAAGAGCAGCAGGAAGCGCTTCTCTGACGGGCACACCACATAACCCTGAAACATGAGACATTTCTTTAGAGTGCTGCGGAGCGGCAGTACAGCTCTGCGTTCACAGAAACCGCAGCAGAGCCTACCTGCTCCAGGCCGTCCACTGTGGCGTTGTCTTTGTTGTCATCCACGCCCACGTACAGCGGCTCCTTCTTCAGGGAGATACGGGCCAGGTCCTCCACCTTCCGGGTCTGCGTGGCTGAAAACAGCATGGTCTGTCTTTTCTCTGGAGAGAGCAGACAATAGGCAGGGGTTCAGAGACGGAAGGTGCATCAGAGGAGCGAGGTCAACACAGCCTGGGATGTGTGTCTTTTTGGATACTATAACATAACAGAAATATGTCTGTTTGGCAGACAGGGCGGGACATTATCTAAATATATAAAAGCTTATTACGGACTAAAAGTACACATATTTCTTAATTTTCTGTTTTGATTGTGAGCTTTTTGTTTCAAAACTGTCAATTACTGTCCTAACTCTGGAAGTGGATCACTAAATTGCTGACATACTCCAACAAATGTGTACAACAGTCAGGGGTGGGGTGGGCACGTACTTGGCAGCAGTTTGATGATCTGCTTCAGCTCCTCCTCGAAGCCCACCTCTAGGATCCGGTCGGCCTCATCAATGATGAGACACTGCAGGTTCTTGTACATGAATCCGGGCGTGTTCTGAAGACAATGTTATTTAGTTTGAATGATCTTATCCACGTATTCATAATAAGAGTTTAGAGAAGGAAAATATAAAACAGTGATTAAACGTTTAGTCAATGTGTAATACCACCAATTCTACAGTGTGGTGAATGTGTGATGCTCTGTTCATGATGCTCAGTACATGTGGTGATTCTGGGGCTGAGCTCACCTGCAGGTGGTCTAGCAGTCGGCCCGGTGTGGCCACCACGATGTTGACCCCGTTGGCGAGCCTCTGGGCCTCAGCGGAGCGGTTGCTGCCCCCCATGATCAGCCCGAAGGTGTGCACGTGATGCTGGATCAGCTCCTTCAGCACACCATAGGTCTGCATCGCCAACTCGCGTGTGGGCGTGAGGATCACCACTCCTGTGCCTGGGGGTTGGTGGGGGGGCAGTATGAAGCATCAGAACACAGTTTGATACACAAGGAATAAGAAATGTTTCAGCAATTTGTAGAAAGAGTCTATTAACGGGAGTCTCACCGTTCCTGGGCATGAACTTGAGTTTGTAGATGAGCTCTATTGAAGGGATGAGGAAGGCCAGGGTCTTACCACTTCCTGTCTTGGCGGCCGCCAGGACATCCCTACAGAGAAGAAAAGCAGACCGTTTCATGAAGACAACACTAAAGTGACGTTTAATGGGAATGAAAAATATATTTTAATAATTTAAATCACCTTTTCCCTGTTGATCTGAATAAGTTGCTTTTCATATATAAAGTGTAAAATAGAGTGCCGCTGTGAAGCGTCCTAAAACCCGGAAGTAAGTTAGCATTTTACCACTTCCTTTGACAAAAAAAACAATGCAATTTCTCCATAGGATGTTGGAAAATAGCTGGAAATAAGGTCTGTGGTTGACACACATTTAAGAGACGGATCACGTCCTTCCGGGTTTTAAGACGCGTCACTGTGGCACTCTATAGGGTCTAACAAGTGTGTTGCTGTGACAAAAAGGCGGTCACTGTCTGTGGACCGGTGTTAACAACCATCAAGCTACGCATAGACTTGACTGGCACATAATCTGCGATATCTTTGACTAATCCTGTCCTAGCCAAACGACAGGTGCTTCTCCATTTCTTTCTGAAATAAACTGATGCCTAAAAGCCTAAGAACAACAAACCTGTCCGTTACAGAGTAACAGCAGCGTGACGCTCACCTTCCCTCCAGCAAGGGGCGAATACTTTTGTGCTGGATCTCAGTCATGTGTTCAAAGCCCATCTCCTTCACTGCTTTCAGCGTGTTGTCACTCACCAGCTCAGACAGAGAGGTAAAGGCTGTGTCCTCAAACGCTCCTGTAATAGCAGACAACAGTTCATCAGTGGAGGGCTGAGAGGAAAGGCGTAGATTAAGCATAGGAACACAGCATGTCAGGAAGGGGTTGGGAAACTAGTCAGATCCAGTGTGCTTGCAGTGAGTCCAGTCAGGAGAATCACTGGGGACCCCCACAAAGACCACCACTAGAGTCTCTGTTTTCTTATCGTCTTGTTGACATTACAACTTCACAGAAATGTAAGACAGTTTAAAACGCAGAATTTTTAACAATGGTAATATTCTACATTTTTATACAAACAACGACTACAAATTAAAATCAAAGTAAAATCGATTAAAAGGCCTTGTCTGTACCAACGGTTTATTTCCACCCAACAGGTTATTAGGAAAGGATAAGGAATCAGATCGTTAAGAGGAATAAATAATGGAATTGGTTTTTATATATTCTTATCATCTCCCATCCGTGAGTTAAACAGATAGCTAATTCTTCTTTACCCGTTAAGCCGGATGGTAATTCAGGTTGATCTTCCTCTTCATCATCTTCCTCTCCAGATTTGTTGTCCTCATCTTCCTCTCCGCTCTCATCATCATCATCATCTGCAGCTTCCTCTGGTTTGTCTGCATCCTGTTCTCCATCTGCTAATGCTGCTCTAGTCTCCAGCTCTTCATCGTCCTCCTCTTCATCGTCCTCTTCATCGTCTGCTTCCGTCACCGTTTTGGTTTTCTTCTCAACTGGAAACAGGAGTATGACATGTTGGTTAGCCATCACAGGTAAACAAATATTTAGTTTTTAATGTGAAGCTAGCAGACTGCTCATGTGTTACCTGGTGATCCAGAAGTGTCCACGAGCTTTCTCTTATTCTTGGTCTTTTTCTTCGCAGTAGCGTCTTCAGTGGGGGTCCCCTCTTTCTGTTTCTGCTGGGGTTTCTTGGGTTTGTCGTCAGGCTTACAAGCAGCTTCGGGTTCTGTTTCCAACCCATTTGCTGTCAACACATTGAAACAAAAACACATTCACACTATCAGCCAGATGATATGCAGAGGTGGAAAAAGTACTCAGATTGCGTACTTAATGAAAGTAGAAGTACCAGCGTGAAGGAATACTCTGTTGCAAGTCAAATTACTGCAATCAACATTTTCCTCAAGTAAAAGTAGTTTTCTGACGGTATTATCATCAAAATATACTTAAAAGTACCAAAAGTCAACAGATTGGTCCATTTCAGAATAATATGTTTTATAATGATTGATCATGAAAGTGTTCTCAAAGCTGGTAAAGGTGCAGCTAGTTTGAATGACTTTGTATACTGCAGGGTAGCTTGTGGATTTACTCCAGGTGGAACTAAAGTCTGATTTAACACTTGATTATATTTCACATCATTCATCCACATCTGTAAAGTAACTAAAGGTATTAAATGTAGTGGAGTAAAAGCTTTGAGAACTGTTTAACACTTGTGTGCAATATAATCTTTTTAAACGTGTTAATGTGGAGCAAATCTTAAGAGACTTTGTGAAAAAGTGGGTTTATTAGTAGTTCAGTGTTTTGTTTTATTTAATTTATTTATTTATTTATATATATAACCAATAAGTGATAAATAAATATAGTGGGGTAAAAAGTCCAATATTAGTGGGGTAGAAGTACAAAGTAGCAACAAATGTATATATTAATTAAGTACAAGTCCCTCAAAATGTTACTTAAGTACAGTACTTAGTTTAATTTACACCACACAGGATATGGAAAGATCTTTGAGCAGTTCTGATGGACTTCATGATGCTTCACTTTTCTCCCAGGGTGTTTAAAACGTTTCTTTAGGTTCATGGAAGCCAGTGAAGGCTGATACTTTTGGGCCTTCTGCTGTCACATCCGTAAGGAGAACTTTCATGTTGTCCAGTGCTAGCTAGCAGCATTACAAAAATTTAAAAATCAATCATTGTGATGGTTAACAAATTATGGTGACACACGGATAAATATATCGTTACATATTAAAACCAGCTAATGTCATGAAACAGTTTAACCAGTGTGACAAGAGTTCCTGATTGAAATCCCTCTCGTGAGAAGCTAACGTAGCTAGCCTAGCATGTAAGTTCGACACCCCTTCAGAAACACTAAACAAATGCAACAAGATCATATTTGTTCTACATGACATACCGGTCTCTTTGTCTTCTGCCTGCGTTTTCAACAGTTTGCGCTCTTTGTCTTTATCACTTCTCTTCTGGATTTTCTTGCGGAGCAGCTTCATCTGTAAGTCCGCCATGGCTGCTGTGCATGCACACGTGTGTAATATGTGTGCGGTGTTCAGGACCCAATGGGGGTAGCAGTCTGCATTGCCTGAGTGAAAATGCGAAGGACCTCTCTCAAAATCCTTTGAGGAAAGACTTTTGGCCAGGGGAAAATATATTAAAGTTAGAAAATTCCAAGAAATGTTGAATGTGTGAATGAAACTTCGGTGGGCGTCCCGATCGTCCCGATGCTAACATTACCCCCGCTGAGTAAGTATTAATAGCATTAGTTGTATTGTTAAGGTACAACAAAGAGTATACATTCATTTTAGCTCACTTTTAGCTGACTATTTTAACTTTATAGATTACATTTTTTGAATTATTGTACCACATTCCTGCATCGTTTCTGAACATCTTTAGATTACCACTGGATTTAGTTAACGACCGACAGGTGTATTCAAAGATTTAGATGTCTATGTGCAGCACATTTTAGAAACTTTGTAAAATATTAGAATTATTAGTACATCATATCACATAGGCCTACGTATATCATGTGTTTTTATATATAATTGTAACTAACTAAGTATAAATATAAGCAGGGCCGGACTGGGACAATAATTCAGGCCGGGAATTATACACCCAGCCAGGCCACTACCAGTTTTCTTTTGTGCCATTTTCCTGGATTTATTTGTCAATATTTACAGCGTTGCTGCCAATAGTGATAGCCCTAAACTTTAAATATTCTACCCCAGAATAAACATATGGACATGGGTTACTATTTAAAAAAAACGTGCCAATTTATTTAGGAACCAATCCATGTGAACATATTTTAAGTGGAGGTGGACCTCAAATCCCCTAGGGGGGTCTGGGGGCATGCTCCCCCGGTAAGATTTTTTTAAAATGTTGGACTTAAATGCATCAATCTGGTGCACTTTGAGGGGGAAATAAAGAGACTACACCCACATGAAACAGAACTGTATACATTTAAATAATCATAAAATCATAAGAACATGGCCATAACCAATAACATACCATATCCAATATGTAAAACATTTAAACTTGTTTATTTATTTGTTTTTGGTTCATTTATAGTTGTGAGTGTGTCTGGGCTCCTGAACCAGCCTCACCCGTCTTCCCCCTCTCCCCCTGCTCCTCTTTGATGCAGCAGCAAAGACTAGTTTTAGCTCTCAACAAGTTTTTAAAGTGTATCTTGCCTTTTTTCACCTAGTGAATTTTTTTAATTATTATTCATGCATATTTTACTAATCACTACCCCTCAAATGGAAGTATGTGTTTACATAAATGGTGACCAAACCGTTTGAGACCCACAGAGAACTTAGACTAAGTTAACTATCTAAACACTCAGAGTCCTTTACCTCACCTGAGCTGTAGTTATCAGTCTCTCAGTCTGACAGGAGAGGACTCTCCTCCACCTTGTTGACAGCTCATTATATCGGTTAGCGCAGCTAGCTAGCACCAGATGCTAACAACAACAATACACGTAACCGGTGCGCGCTTTCTCTCATGCTCGCGCCACACATACACACCAAGCCCCCAGGAAGTGCGCCGGACTCAGATGAAAATATTCGTGTTGGCCAAACGGCGGTACTACACTTCCGTTTGGTTGCCAGGCCCGGAAACACTTTTTCCCATTGACTTACATGGGGAAAGAGTGGTCTGTAAATCGTTGGATAATTTTTTAAAACTAAATAAACTACCCAGTATGAACACTTGTATAGCCCTTATTAAAAAGATTAGTTCCTCAAGTTGTAAAAATGTGCTAATAACGTTATTCTGAGAGTTATTTCCCTCTGCATTATGAACGCGCATCTAACCCACGAGACCACGCCGCCCGGCACGTTCATGTTACGTGTTCAGCATGGTCCCGACAATCAGAGCACACTGTGCTCACAGGGAGGGTGGGGGCTGGAGCTACAACGAGCCGTTAAAGGGAGAGAGTGAAATTCAGTGAATACAATACACGTAGTTTACAGAGATGCTGTATGAGAAACCAATGTGAGTTGCGTTTATCTTTACCCATGGATGCACAATAAGAACGGACCCATATCGTCTTACTCCCATCCCACGGAGCTGTAATAATGGATATATTGCACATGTTTACTGTAATTCATTATCATACTACATGGGCTGTATGATTAAACATTGTACCTTAAATGTTGTATTAAATAAAGTTAATATTACCGACGTTAGATTAACGACCCTGTAGCTTCTTATTGCACTTGCAATATACCATTAAAGGAGTTGAACGTTGCTGTTTGCTATTACTATGATACCACGCAGGGATAAACCAGAGTTTACAACCTTTGCATGTGGGCACAACACGTTTTGACCCAGATTAATTAGCTATACCATATGATATCGCCCGAGGAAGTCGTTATACATATAGAAATAAAGAGTCAAAGCTCTAATCAAATTAACAGTTGTGTTAATTATACTTGTATATGTATATATATATGTATATAGCCTGTTTTGTATATTTATACACACAAATGAA